TATATATATATATATATATATATATAATACAGTGGTCATTTAGTGTAGCCTTTATGACCCCAGAATTATCCCCCTTTGAATATTTAACTGTTATATATTGATGGTTACAATGCTACTGGTGATAGTAATACTCACAATGAAGTGCAATGATTAAGTAGTCAAATATTATACACCAAAATTCATCATATTTGTTGGATATATTATAGACCTAAGTTTATGATATTTATAGAATGTAGAAAAGACTGTCTTGCAATTAGTGTGTTTGTTAAAGCTGGGCACTTAGTGAAATTTGTTAGTCCATTAAATGTTGAACTCGTTAAACTACATTCAACTAATCGATTATTCTCACATGAGACTTTTAATAGTTGAAATAATCTAAAACAGTAGTAATAAAGAACATTAACTTTGATGAGTTGATTATTTTTATGACATCAGTAAATTTAATCATCATTTTAACTAATTATTTTACGTGGTACTAATCGATGTAATTAATTATATTGTTTAATCGAGTTAGTCATCCAGCTCTAGTGTTTGTAAAATTACATTGAAGTGTGTTTTTGAGATTTTACTTCCTTTTTTCTACTTGTTGGTCAGGGTTATTTGTGATTGCAAGAGCCTCTCATAGTTTATATAGATTTTTGCATAAGCTACAGACTCAACCAACTTTAAATCATAGGAATTATAGTATTTAACATATGGATCTATCATACCAACTTATGGGTCAAAATCCAGATTTTTCATTATGTTCTGCAGCAATTTTCAGAGGTATTCAAGCTTGGTATATGTAGTGTCAGTCATTCTAAAGTTTTGTTTTTTTATCTTTAATGACACCTAGTGGTCAGAACTAGTCTTTTTTACAGCAGTCTTTTTTTATTAACATAAATGTATAATAAATGTTGGTAGGTTAACTAATTTCTATTTGTAGAAGGTCGGTCATTTAATGATTCAACCTTTTCTACACATGGTGGTTAGTTTTTTTCTTAAATAGTTTTTCATTGTTTTTTTATTAGGTGTTAATTAAAAAAAAAGAACTGTTTATATTCTTTTATGAGATATTGCTGTAACATTCTATATAATCGAAATTTCATTTATAGACCGAACAGTTTGTTATGAGTGATAGCCAAAGATTAACATGTGTACGTCAGTTGAAAGAACTGCAAAATTCCTCAAACAAACACTATAATTTGTTATATTTTCTTATACATATAAGGTTTATAAAAACTCTTAAAATAAATATTAAGAAAAAGGTTTTAAAAGACTATTTTTGGTGTTAGTCAGTAATGACTACCAATCCAATATTAGTTACTGCTGTGAAGAGGGTGGGTGTGAGTGTTACTCTCTCACTTACATTTAAAAATAGATAATTCTTAGGTGTTAAAAAAAATCCCCATTTGATTAGATATATTTGGTTAATTTGTTTTTAAAGCTGTATATTATTCAACTGAAGCACTGATTTGTTATTTTTTAATAGTAATATTATCAAACTTCTTCATTTTGTCAAAAAAAAATAGAAAATGTTACTAAAAGTCATACACAGGGGTGGACTGACCATACAGCCCACTGGTCTTTTAATATAAATTGAAAATAAAATTGTTAATTGCTTTAATGTAAAGTTCTGATTTTTAAGCTCTGCATATAGTTGTTACTTAATTTTAATGAAGTCTTGAACCTCCCATTCATCCGTGGTCATACATAAACATTGCTATTTCAGTTCTGTTTTAGTTTTTTACAAATTTACATGGTATAATTCAGTTGAATAACTTCAGATGTTTTTACATATATGTTCAGTAAACACACAAATAAAATTATATATCTAATGATGAGAGGAGATCCTTTTAACTTAAAAGAGTTGAAAGTGTTTTTGTAAACATATGCTCTACATTTGGATTTTTGCTTTAAAATACAAATTTGTAGTATTATTATTATTAACATGATCTGAATGATCTTATTGATTAATTTTCCAAGTTCTTTTTGGAACTACAAATACTCAGTTGAAAAACTTAGAGAAAAAAAAATTTACATTCTGTGTCATACATTTACAAACAAGTATTATACCTCAATATTAGCCTACTTAATTGAATAATCACATGTTTGCATACACCTTTTAAATAATATAACCTGACACTGACTTGTATGTTGCTTGTTTATTTACTTTTGAATTTTCACCTCTGTTGTTTTTATACATTTATTCACATTTATCTTGAAAGTGTTACTGTGTTTTAAACTTCATATATTCTGTGTTAGTCGTCATCTTAATTATATGAATTGGATTAAGAACAAAAACAGCTTTTCACGGGATTAGTGTAAACATACCTGCTAAAAATATATTTAATGGGTGATGTTTTCAAACATTTCTAAAGCTGTTCCTTGCCACAAAATTAAAATAATAGTTATTAGAGCTACATGTTTTAGGCTTTATAGTAAGTTAAAAAATGTTACAAGTGAAATATTTGTTTAAAGCTTGCACAATTTTTATGTGTATTTGTTATAAAAAACAAACAAATATAGTATGTAAATAATGCACTAACTGGTTGACATTTTGATACTCTTTCAAATACTAAATAATAGCTGAAAATACTGCTCTGTTAACTTGGAAGCATAAAAGTAAACATTCATGCATAATTTGTTTTCCTATACAGTGGAATGTAAGAAAGAAATCGTCCCCCACAAATAAACATTAGGATATCTGCCCCTGGTGCATGAACACTTATGTCATGTTTGGTTCTGCTGTCTTGTGAGTTGGGATATTAACACAATTTCAAGTATGTTGCCCCTTGGGAGCACAAAATACAATTCTAGCAACCATGAATACTTACTTTTAGACCTTGACCCCTATCATGTCTGGGTGACCTCCTGGAGGTATTTTAGCATTATAAGCCCTCAAGTTTATAGCTTAACTACTGGGAAGGGGGCAGGTATATGTGTGTAAATACAATATTGGCTATTATAGTATGCTTTCTTTCCATAAAATAATTATTATTGTAGTGAAAATTGAATTTCTGCTTTAGTTTACTAAAACCATGACATTGATATTGGAAACAAATGTCCAAGATATTGTTTTATACATATTTGTTTTCAACCATGCAGAATGTTTTTGCTATACTGTAAATGTGTTGTTCAGTATGTTGAACATGTAATATGTATTTATTATTAACAAAACAAAAATTTGATTTACATGTTTTTATATGTGTAGTGTCTAAATATATATATATAAGAAACAAATTTACAACACTTTAACTACAAGTCAGTTAATGGGTTTTGACAAAATACTTCTAATCTGTTGTACATTAAATTTGTATGGATACTAAGGAATGTACTATGTGGAAATCTTCTTGTGAATGTATTTATAAATTATATTTGTGGATATCCATAAGGATTCTACAAGTACATATTACATTCACATATATATTATTGGGCACTATATAATGTTTGCAAAGTTCCAAATAGCTTTTAACTAACATTTAGTTTTAATATTACTTGTAATGAAACTCAAGAGATGCTGAATTACAAAAGCGTTTTGAATATGTATTGATCAAATACTTATTTTCTTTCCTTTTTTAGAATATCTGGGCAAAAGTGGAGTTAAAAATGGAAGCATTTTTCTCTTACGGAATTTTTTGCTGAATTGGACTTCAGCCATGAATCATGGTATTGAGATACAGAGTATGAAATTTAAATCATTTACTAGAACGTGTAAAAATATTCAGTCTCCTCTGTCAAAATTACACAGAGCACATCAGAAAAACATGAAAGAATCATTTCATAATCAGCAAGTCAAAAATTCAAATATTGAAAGAGGTGAACTTTCAAGTAGTAAAACTCAATGTGCTGAAGAAGTTTATCATTCATTAAATGGGGAAGAACATCAACATAATGGAGGTAGTAAAGAACTGGGTGATTACACTGCATGTCCACATAGTCTAGCAACATCTGCAATAGATATTTCATCAAAAAACAAGCAGAATTTAAAATCATCTGTTTTAGAAGTAAAAGATCAACAAAACAAATCAGTAAAACTGAATAATTCTCAGGTACAAGTACTGTCTTCACCCCAAGAAGATGAAATTAGATTTGAAGAAGATATTGCAATGTTAGAGAAGAATGATGATGAAAAGCTAAGAAGAGCTGCTGAAAAGCTGCCAAAGAAACGCAAGTTTCATTTAATTGAGAATTATTCCTTGGACAGTGAACAAAGTTGTATACCTGCCAAACAACAGCTTCATGAATTGGCTTCTTTCAATACAGTTTCTACAATATGTTCCAGACTTAATGAAACCTATAAAATTGGTGAAGCTAACTGTGTGAATAATATAAATATAGACTTAAATGAATGGAAAGGCTATAGGGTTCTTGCAAAACATGATGGGCTATATCATCCAGGTGTAATCATGGAAATTCAAAACAATTGTGATATTGGTGTGCTTTTTGATGGAGAACATTCTGTTTCATATTTTTTAAATGTAGTAGCTGATGATGAAAGAAGACTTGACGTTATTAATGACCACAGCCCTTTTCCAGAACAAGTTTTTATTGGATCTGAAGTATGTGTACAAGTCGATACTACAAAAAAGGTATTTGCAGAAGGAGTTGTAGTAGAATTATTTCCAAAGTTGCTGCATTACAAGGTTTGTTTAAAAAAGATTGATGGCAACTATATTAAAGTTTCTAGAGCAAACATACGATTAAAACTTCCTCCTTGGTGGGCAGAATTAGATCTTTCTGATAATTCATCAGTTCCACAAGTTTTTTCAAAGGTTCTACAAAGTGCAAATGATTCAACCACAGTCATACATCAACATGTTAAGTCAGTGCAAGCCTCTAAACCTCTTGAGTGGAACTTTAAAGAACAACATAGTCAACCAACAGTATTTTCAGTTTTGCAGCCTGAATCATCCATGCTGGTCATGAATGATCAAGAAACATTCCAACCATCTATATATCAAGGAATGGAAGTTGCAACCAAGGACATTACTTCTACAGCTACAAGAGTAACTCCAACACTATCTTGGCCACATTCATCATATATTGTTCCAGTAGTTTCTTTGGGGAAGTCAGGTGATGATGATGAATCTTCCGATGATGAACTTAATAAAGAGGAAATGAGGTTTGAAGCTGATTTCTCTTTAGAGCCTTCTGTTTCCACTCCACAGTCGTCTTCTTTGTCTAGAGAAAGTTTGACACCTGCTTTTGGGAATTGTAAAGGTGATGTAAACAAGACAAACACAACAACTTCAGAACAAGTTGGTACTTCTCGATCACCAGCATTTTCGGCCCAGAAATACAAAAAGGGAGATATTGTAGCTACACCAAGTGGAATAAGAAAGAAATTCAATGGAAAACAGTGGAGGAGGCTTTGTTCTAAAGAAGGATGTACTAAAGAGTCTCAGCGTCAAGGTTATTGTTCCAGACATTTATCTTCGAAAAGTAAAACTTTGCCAGTACCATCTTCCTCTCTTCTAGGGCATATGAAAACAACTCAAAAAAATTCAGAATCTGGATTAGAAGCAGAATGGGAGAGTGAGGATCTGGGAGATGAAACTGAAAGCCATCTAATATTTCAAGATAAAGAACAAAAGTTACAAGGATCTTTTAATATGGATGAGACAGAGGCAGCAAATATGTTAGTATCTTTAGGAAGTCCAGGTCCAACAACTCCTGGAAGCACACCTTTACCTATTTCCCCTCAATCAGTCTACAACAAGCACAGCCCATTACCAAATACAACGGTTAGTAATCAAACCAATTATTTTACACCAATTGGAGATCCACGTGTTCACCAGCGATCTTTTACTGAACATTCTTCTATGGGTGTATGTTTTTCAACATCATCACTGCATAATGTAACTTTTCCACATGTTGGCTACAACCAGACTGATGAAGAATGTGATTCTATTTGTGGTGGATTTCCACCAACCCAACCTGTTTCTATGGTTCAACAAAGTGGACAGAATGCTGTGGTATGTGTGGTTACAACACGTGGGCAAGATGGAGTATCTGTAATTCAGTCCTCTGCTCCTTTGTCTAGGACTGTACCCCTTGTGCAGGTGCTACCTAGTTACAATCATTCTGGTGGACAAACTGTCCACTTAGGTAATTCAGAGTCTTCTGCTGCTGCACAACAGAAACAAATTTCAGCACCCATTTCTGTAATTAACCAGTTTGATAGATCATCTGTTATAAAGACCCAGTTTCAGGGTTGCCAGTATATGCCTTCCGGTCAAGTGCAAAAGCTATACACTAATAAAGACAAAATATGTAAAACTACAGATATTAACAGGTCAAATTTGTTGATTCATAGTACTGAAACTGATGAGAGGGACGATGAACTACCATGTTCTGAAAGTAAGCAACTTTATGACCTACACAAGCTAAAGGAAGTGGGAACTTGTGAGTCAAACCATGAAGGTCACCAGTGTCTGCCACAATTATCAAATTCAAATGTTCAAATTCAAAATATTGATGAGACGTCAAACGGATTAAATAATAGAGAAGGTTAGTGTATATTATGTAAGTTTGTGTTTAAAAGAAAAACAAATACATGCATAATTTTCCCTTCCAGCAACAACATGCAATACTGTTTAGTGTGTGCTATAATTGTTGAAAGTAGTTAAGATAATTATTGATGACACAACGTTTTCCCAGTAGTATGTATCACACTGCATTCGACTTCAGCGCATGTTTACTTCTACATCTTAACTAATTAGGTATATGTATGTAATATGCATAGAGATAGACAGTACCATAAACGGTTCACACAGTTGTATATTGATAACAAACGCCCACGCCTACTCGAGTTCTTGTGTTAGAGAGATAAAAATTTGGAATTTCCTCAATCACCTTTGTACAGATATGCGCTTACACGCTGTTTGATGAGGACACGTCATTTGATTATGTTGTTATATCCTTGTAGCTATTGCTATACAGTATGTAATGACTTATAAATACAGTTATATATTTCTTTACTTTAATGCTAATGTGCAACACTTGGCGTTCAGTGACATGGGAAAAGCCCACGCGAAAAACCCTTGCGGGGTTCATGGGTAAAGCCCATTCTCACACAATGGTTTTCAAAAGTTACGCCGAAAGTGAACAAATATCTCACTGGCCTCAATAACGACTTTTGACCAATCTCAATAACGTTATTCCTTATAAATCAGGATGTTGCTTCGATCTCTTATCCTCGTTTGCTCCTAGAGGGCTCTTTCTGTAGAGAAATCTGCTGTGATTCTGTGAATCTTTTTTCTCGCTCCCCATTTATCCCCTCCCCCCACTGATATACGGAGCGGGAGGTTCAGGTGGCCAAATTCGAGTGTGAATATCAGTTTAGCAATTTCAGTAAGCTATGATCATTGTTCAAATACACCATGTTTACGTGACAAACAAACAAATATACACAATACACATATATATGTATAGACACATTAACGTAAGGATTTGAACATATTTTAACCTGAGAGTTCTTTTGTTTTGTTTTTTACCTTTATAATTTTTTACTCGTTAGTTTGGTTTCAAAAGCAGAATAATTTACTTTCAATTACTCGTCGCCTTTTATTCAAGTTAACTTAAAAATAACATGAATGCATACAGAGCAGGGGTTTTCTTCCCATAGGGCAATAATGTGCTTCCTTTCTAGATTATTTGGAAATTTGAGTTTTATTTCCACATGATAATTTTGGGTGTGAAACAAGAGGGAATCCTCAATAGCTGCGGCTCATAAAATTCTTTAAGACAGGAGTAAATTAATCTATGAAACCCCTTTTTTTCTCTTTATTATTAGCTATATTTTTGTGCGCCTGCAATACCAAGCGTGTGATGCGCGTATACCTGATTTGGTCTCCACTCTCAAATTGAAATTATTTTAGGCAGGATTAGAATAAATTAATCTATGATATCTTAGGCGTGGTAAAATACATCAATCGAAAGGGTTTGACCTCCTGAGTTCAAAACTGCAATTAGATCTCAAATCGGTGAAGAGATGACGGAACTATGAGCTAAAAGTTTGTACTTGAAAAATACAGAGCCATTCTATGAGCCGCTGTGTCGCGGCTAAAACTAGACATCTTTGAAATTGTATCATTTTAAACATCTCTGTAAAAAATATTGATGAATACAACCAGATCATGTTTATACACATACTGTACTTTTGGCACTTGAATTCCAGGCGTCACATTAGCCACCAAATAAAACTCTTCTCCCCTGCAAAAGATTCTGAACGAAACCCCCAACAGAGTGTTTAAAATAATTACATTCAAATATCCAAAATAAGCCGTGTCAGTAGTTGAATTAGCAATTGGAAATAACGCTAGAAAACTAAACAATAGTCGTAATTTTATAATGTATTTTGAGAAGACGTCAAATTGTGCTTGAATGCCCATGTCACTTTCTACCACGTTTGAAAACATCAGTTTAAAGTACTCAAAAAGAGATGAAATAATAAGAATATAATAGTTAATAAAACTTATAATATGTAAAAACATATAGATATACCAAATATTTAATGAACAAGATAGGCTATTGGATTAACATAGCATTACAAAACAACTAAAGTCCCTTTCCATTCGCACAAAGAAAACGTTTATTTGGTAGTAATCCAAAACCTTGTACTTATCACATTATCCATTTGTGGCGCTGCGATAGCACTAGTAGGGCTGCTCTAATTTAAGGATGACAATACTTGTACACATGTTTACTTGCTAGTTAGAAAAATAGATTGTGTGTCAATTTATTATTGTGAAGGGGACGAAGGATAAAAATGAACCATTTGGTATCCTGGTGTGAATTAATTTTTATACTCATAAAATTATGCGCTTGTGAAAACAACTAATATCACATTCACTGCACATGGCAATGTAATGAAGATTTTTTTTTTTTTTCAAATGCTGAAGCTTGAATAAAGTGCAGTTAGTTCAATTATATTTTAAGTTAGGCTATGAAGTTACAAAAATATTAGTGTGTATAGTATGATATAGGCAGCGACTCAGGTGACTAATGTATTACGACGGTTATAGACGGAATTTTGAAATATTGACCGTGTGTTGAATTGCTCTTTAACTGAATCTATTTTATAATAATTTTAACATACAGCCTGTATTAAACCAATAAAGGTTAACTATTTTATGCATCAAAATAATCTGAGGGTTATAGGCCCCTTGTTTTTCATTTAATTGGAAATTAAATGCGACCAAAATAATTATGTATATATATAGTAGCGACGGCTGTTATGGGTATAGAAAACTTTCTATTTGAAAAGCACAAAACAAATAGCAACGTTTCGACCTCCTTCGGTCATCATCAGGAAGTCGAAACAGTTATTTGTTTTGTGCTTTTCAAACACTAGTCGTCCCTAATTTATCAGACATAAAACTAGAGGGAAGGCAGCTAGTCCCTCCGCCAACTCTTGGGCTTTTCTTTTACCATCAAACAATAAAATTGACCGTTACATTATCACGTCCTCACGGATGAAAGGGCGAACATGTTCAGTGATGGGGATTCGATTCTGTGACCCTCAGGTTGTGAGTCGAGTGCTCTAAACAGTAGGCCATGTGCAGTGAACCTTGTTTCAAAGTATAATCCACAATGTAAAATGGACATGGTAATTTAGTTGTAATGTTTAGCTTAATCCAGGGGTAAATAGTGCAACTCCCCCCCCCCCCCCCAACTATCGTCCATAAAGCCTATTTCTGATTCACATATAAGCCTCTCGATTACTTTGTTTCTTGGGTTATTTTGGCTCATTTCATTCATCTGTATGGCGATATGATCCTTGTTTTATTGTTATGTTCCATATGACATAATCCTTGATTTTCATGTTAACGCCTTGACTTGCTGTCAGAATTCAGTGCGAAAAGTTATAAAAATTGACAAATATTTTATAAGATCCTTGGTGGGAGTAGAGTGATTAAAGTGAAAATAATAATTTACATATTACTGATGTTGAAAAGCACTGCAGTTCACCGGAGAATAAGAAAAAAGAAGTGTCAGAGCGGTTGGAATACGACGTGGAGTACTTCTTCAAACATCACTGTACTAATTTTGTAGTATTGTTACTGCAACTTAATCGGGAAAGGAGTGTTCATGCTAAATTTCACCATGTAAAATTGCCTTTGATAGTATTGTTCATCAGTCTGAAAAGGATAACTTCCCATAAAGTGACTACAGGCAACATATATGTTTTAAACATGCAATCAAATGTAATAATCGTGAAAGAATGCGTTGACGTTTTGTTTTGGCTTTCTCTGAAATGCTTGAAAGCTGTGTTAAAAGTTGTGGATATGTAAGAATACTTGTCTGCTTATGATTGTGTTTATTCTATTCAAGCTTCATTTGCAATTCAAAAATATATGCAAGTTTGTGCAAAAAGAGGTAGTTTTTAACCCCCCTAAATATGAAAATCTGCGAGTTTAGTGAGATTGACCCTGCATGTGTCCCCAGGCTGAATCCTGCCCTAAAATGTCCGCATCCTCCCAGATAAGTTTAATGCTCACTGATGACAGATAGTATGAAGTAGGTAGACCTAAGCCTATGTGCTTGCAGTACCTTCGTTTTCACAATCTAGCTTTTTTTCACGTGAAATCAGGGTCAAAAAGAGAAAATGAATAACTTATACCAGAGATATTCTTGAAGTTGTACTGGTTTAGGGCTATCATTTCCCCACTCTCCATCGGTTGTTTGTTATTAAGCACAAAGCTACACATAAGGCTATCTATGCTCTGCCCACCACGAGGGACTCTCTCTCTCTCCATCGGTGGTGGCACTCGTGCATAATAGTGCACGGTAGCCTGTGCTTATATACAATTTGCAAAATACCTTCTCTATCGAGGTTTTGCACATATAATTTGCATTGATAGATTAAAGAAGTTTTATTTTTTTAGCCAATCATATTCCCCTGTTGCCATTTGGGGAATTTAGTTTTTGCCTAGGTTGTGGATCTGTGCAGGTTGAACACTAAATATTGTAATAGGTAGGCAAACAACGGGTTATAAGCATAAGGAAGAATTTTATTGATGGTGAAACATACTTCATGTTTAGGCAGAACATTGTTCATACCTAACTGACAGAAGAATATTTTTCCGAACATGTAGTATGTTCCTCCATCAATAAAACTTTCCCTTATGCTTATAAATCGTTGTGTGCCTACCTGTTATTATATTAGCATAATATGCTTATTTACTCAAACACTAAATATGATGTGATTACGAATAGAAAATGATACTTTTGTTAACTATGACACTATAATATATCAGACAGAATAGTTGTGTCTCAAGTAAATACAAATTAGAATTGTTGTAGCATTGAGTGAAGTAAGTGCTTTCGTTTAAAATATAATTTTCACTTTTAAATATCATCAAAGTCAGATCTCAGAAATGTTGTCCGGCTTTGTTTTATAACCAGTGTGCTGATAAATCCTATCCCCCGTCTAATTAGATACCTGTCATTCCAAATTTGAGAAAAAGAAACGGACGAAAGTGGAATAATCCATCGAATTGACCAAC